CCAAGACAACCCTGACTCAGCTAAGGGAATGCTTCTTCATGTTTAAGGAGAGGAGAGGCAGCTGACAAACCCTGCCAAGGACAAGTCCTGATTTGACTTATTAACTGAGCTGTGTATCGTGGAAAGCTTGGAGAGGAGCTGAAGATGAGTGAAGGCCTTTTAATGCAGTGGCTCTATCCATTAATATTCATGGCACAATGAATTCTTGATCTCTGACCAATTATATTAGCAATTCTCCCTCTATTCCCTGAAAAGAGGCTTGGAAAGAGAGTGGCTAAAGAAGAGAGTTAATTTCCACCCACTGCCCCTACATTGGATTATTTTTAAACTCTTCAGAATGTCTCAAGGAAATGAGTTAATAAGGAACTCATAAATTTCCCAACTTTTCTCAATGACAAATGATGATCCAGGAGCAAAGCTTAGGTTTCCAGCATACGATGTGTTCTATGCAAATGAAAAGCTCCTCAGCAGTCATCCATTAGTAATGGTATGATATACTACACCACACACATGCCGCACTGTGCAAATGCAAGGGAAATTGATACCCTTGGGGCCCAAAACATGATAGGATTCCAAGAAAAACCTGATTGGTGCAGCTACAGGAATGGTGAGCAGTCCAGCTCACCCATTAGATCAAAGGTAATTGCCTGAAGCTCTGAGGCCTCCTCTCCAAGCAATGGGAGGAAAAGCCGTTATACTGAAGGAGTAATACTGGCTAAGGCCACACAGTTCCTGGTCTTGCTCCAGTTGAGTAAGAGAAAACATTCTGAAGATTAGGTTTTACCAAACAATGACAACCTCATCTTCCAGGGACAGTCCCCTTTGCCTAACATTCTACATGAGGAATGAAGAAAGCAAGTTCAAAAGAGGCTAAAGGATCTGGTTTAACCTACACAGCTAATGTTGTGGAGTAAAAAGTCCCAAGGTCTACAGCAACTCTGGCTATCATTAAGCCACCACACATGTGACACCTTGAAAGACAGGCACTCACAGATCAGTACTTGGAGGGTGTGGAAGCTTTCACAGATGAACAAAAACCTATTTTCCTCATCCCAATCCATCAGTTCTTGCTGGGTGTGCTATGTATCAGAAAATTGGCTCACTAGCCACCAAATATGAGATGGTTATTGACAAGATGCGAAGGAAAAACTGAAAGGGAAAAAAAAATATCAGGCTTCCAGAGAAGCACGTTGCCTCTCAAGCACGTTGGCTTTGAGTCAGCTTCCTTTGGAGACCTGCTGACTATGTTACAAATATGGGTTTGACGTGTAGCAGATGAGGGTTTTTCAAAACACATGTTCAGAGAAGAGGGAGGTCACAGTTTAAGTGAAATCAACCCAGGTTCTTGGCTGGGCTTGTATGAAAGGTCCTGCAGAGGAAGAACCCCTGCAAGGTCATGTAAATGCACCTGGTAATGATCTGATGTCCATAACCAACCTCTAGATTTTCAGAGGCAGTTAGTCATGGGACCTCCTGTGATGCTGGGGTTTTGGCCTCTTCCAGCACTCTCCTGTATTTTTCTATTATTGTCCTCAGCAACTCTGCCCTGAAATTATCTTGTGGGTAATCCTGCCAGCTGGTTCCACACAATGTCGCTCTTGGTAGTTACAGAGCTTCCGGTGGTAGAATATTGTCCTGTAGTTTTGACCCCTGATGGTGAGGGTAGTATATGCCAGGTTACACTAGATAAAACAGATTGCCTCCAATTTTTTTTTGGCCTGATTTCTACTTAAAACCAGGTTCTCCACTGATGCCATGTATGTCAAAATCTTCTCCTCCTAAGCAGTAATATTAACTTGCATGTATCTGAAAGAAAATTTGGATGTCCTTAAATTTTCTTTAATGTATTTATTCTGTACATTGAAAATGCACTCAGTGAAATAGATTCTAAAATTGCACAGAAGTACAACATAAAAGATAAAAGTCTCCTCTCTCTGCTTCTCCAAAGGGATAAACTTTTTTTTTTTTAAGATTTATTTTTATACAAGAGCTGGGGTACAGGCCAGAGGCGCGGGAGGGTGAGAGGATTCACCAGAGACAGAGCAGGGAGCAGAACAGGCAGACTGACTGAAATACACTGCTGAGTGGAGCAGCAGGAGAGACAGGAGAGGTCTGCCATGCCATGTAGGGTTCTCGCCGGCCGTCATCGAACCCACACTGCAGAGCTGCGGACAGCCTCACAGCACGGTGTTTAACTCACTGTGCCACTGGGGAGGCCCAGGGATAAAATTTTTTACATATTTATCCAGAAATCTCTCTCTACCCTTCCCTATGTCTATCTATCCTTTTTCTGATTCCCAGAATTGGAATCATAGTCTACATATACCTCTACAATTAGCTTTTAATTTTTATTAATAATGCATCTTGAAGACAGTGTTAAGCATACGATCATATACTCAACATATCGAGTAGAGTGAATTTGGTTGAATGTAACCAAAAATTTTAACACAAACTGACTTAAGCAAAAAGGAAACCTGTTGTCTTATAAAACAAAGTCTAGCAATATGGAAGATTCTAGGCATTTTTGATTAAAGCATTTATATGGTCCCAAAGACCCAAATTCTTCTACCTTTTTATTCTGTCATATGCAACACAGATTTCATTTTATGGATGGTTTTGTGCTCAAAACCATTGAGTTTTGTGCTCAAAACCACTGCAGGATTAGCATGGCTCATGCCCAGACATGACACTCAAAGTTAGGAGGTATGATATCCCTTTCTGTGTGTGTGTTTTTTCCCCAGTAGACAATCCTTTAGTAGACATTCCCAGATGACTGTCTCTCTAGCATTTTATTAGCCAGATGGGTCAGACGTACACTTCAGATGTGCAAGAAGCATAGAATTATGAGGCCTGCCTTAGACTCATCATCTTGAATGGAACTGAGATTTGAAGTCACCATGAGCAACCACAACACTCAAGCTCTGGATCAAACTAGCAGCCCTGTCATTCTGGGTTCTCAACCTGGCCATGGACAAGGCAGCCCATATACAAAGTCAATGGGACCAAAATAGGAGGTGGGTGGACTACAGGGAACTCAGGGAACAAAACTGCTCTGCAATCATTTCAAACATTTTGTGTTGTGGCAGAGGTATGTCTTTCTTGACTATGTTGCTTGGGAAATAACTTTATTTCATATGTATGGATTTAGACATAAATGTGACTAAAATTAGTACTTTGTTTTAGGGAGATGTGTACATTGTTATGGTAATCTGGGGTTGTCAGAGGCTGCAAGAGAAGGCTTCAGGAAGGTTGTGTGGGCACAGCTGTCCCCCCAGGACAAAGCAGCTCTCCCAGACAACTGGTTCCACCTTCAAAGTATATCCCAAAAGTATACCCTGCTTATCATTTCCACTCCTACAAATTTAGTGGAAGCCCTCCTTATCTTCCACCTGAAGCACCACATCACCTGCCTGGACCATGCTGCATGATACCTGGGTTCTGGTCTGTCTGTCTGTCTGTCTGTCTCTCTTTCCTTCCTTCACTTGTTTCTCCACACAGCAGCTAGTGAGCTTTTACAAACAATATCCTTTGTCATTGCCTGGCACAAATGTCATACCCTGCACATGGAGAGTTCCCCCCCATCAAGACCTCATGTGGTGAGAGGAAGTCCCACAAAGGTTAGCTGCTGACACGGGGTCACTCACCCAACCCTGAGGCCCACCCTAACTTTTTACCTCACTAAGAATAAACTAAGAGCATAAACCTTAAAAGTTCTTATCACAAGAAAAAAAAAAGATTTTATTACTATATTTACTATATTTGGTGATGGATGTTAACTAGAGTCATTGTGATCATTTTGCTATATATATATATATATTTATATGTCAAGTCATTAAGTTGTTCAGCTGAAACGAATGTTATACATCAATTTCACTGAATAAAAAGTGAGTAAAATGTACTCTCCTCCCCCTCATGCCCAGGGCCTCTCCACCAGATGATTTACCATCTTTCTCCCTTTAACCGCCCTCTAGCCCTGAGACACTGTTCTTTCCCCTTGACCGGCCCTGCTCTCAGGACCTCACACTGACTTCTGGCTGGTCACGTGATTATCCTCCAGCTTATCAAGGTCCTACCCCCAACACCTTCCCTGAGCCCCATGGCTAAAGTAATTCTACCCCAAGTACCAGACGCTCTCTAGCTCATATTTTATTTTGATTTGTTCAGTATCTTATCGCTATCCAGTATCTTACCTATTTATTTGCTTCCTTATTAATTCTCAATCTCTGTCAACCAGGAGAAGTCCCGGAGAGTAGGGGTTTTGTTTGACTTTTATCCTCAGCCCCTAGAACAATGACTGTTTTAACTAATATTCGGGCACTTTGTTAATATTTAGCAGCAATATTGAAGTCACTTCCTTCAATCCTTCTATCCTAGCGTTTTTGTATCACATGCCACGTGTGAAGACCTGGAGGAGAAATGGCTGCATGGTGGGCCTGCTTGGTTGGAGGCCTGAAGAACTGCTTTCCACTATTTAAAATGCTGTCACGTGGAAGAGTGGCTCTGAGGCCAGGGCCCTTCTAGAGGACCTGTCGGTAGGAATGAGAGGTGCTGACAAAGACTGGCACAGCACACAAGAACAGAATCCCCCAACTGCCAGATCAATTGTGCCCTCCAGTAAAAGGAATGATTCTTCCTTGCTGAGAGTGATGCTAAGTCAATCCATATTATAAAGGTCTGAGAGAAAGAGAGAGTGTGGCAGGAAGGAAAGATGCCTCAGTGGGAGCAGAGGAGGCACCTGGGGAGAGCAGGGAGGAGATGGGGATACTGCACCAGGAGAGACAAGGATGGGAAAAGAAGGATGTAACTAGGTACCACCATGGACCTTTTACTGGGTCCCATTTAGTGCTCTCAGGTGGAGAACAGAATTCCTTTCTCATTATTTTTGGACACTGACTGTACTCCTTGAACATGAAATCTGACTGAGACTGAACCACTGGAGTCTTTGGATCATAGTGTTAAATGCAAAAAAAAAAAAAAAAAAAAAAAAAGGGAAAAACTACCTGATGATGAAGTTCAGATCTTGTCATTTGAAAATGAAGCAGAACCTCAAAGGCAATTTGCTGGAGACTGAAGCTTCAACTCTGTCGAGTGTGGCTTAATCTCCTGTCAGGAAGAAAGAGCTCTGGGGCCTTTATGTTTGACCACAGCTGGCCTCTCGGAAGAGAGTTAGCCTGGCCTGTTTGGGTTTGGAAATGGGGACAGTAAGGGGGCATTTAATGCTTTTGTTTTCTCCTGTGGAATTTCCCACCACAATCACTTTCAGGGTGAATAAAATGGAGATGTTGTGGGGGGCAGCCTGTGGGGAATGGGTGGGCATCAGGGTTGGGTGAGTGACCTTGTGTCAGCAGCTAACCTTTGTGGGGCTTCCTCTCACCTCATGAGGTCTTGATGGGTAGAGTGCTCAATGTGCAGAGAAAAGATGATCTGGTTTAGAGCTGTGCTGACCTCAGAAAAAGCCAGAACCCTGGCATGAACTGTACTGGCAAACAGTGATGACCAGGCAGGGTGGAGCTGGGTTGCCAGTGAGCCTGTGTGACCTCGTGAGAGTCCCTGCCCTCTTGCTGCCTTCTGTTTATTTGTGTGCCAAGGGGGTTGAGAGAGGACACTCAGAAAACTCTTCTCTGATAATTTTCTGTTTAGCAAAGTTGCAGGCCTGTGTGTTTTTTGCTGTTGCATAATCCTCAGAAAGTTAAGGTTTAGAATGAAACTGGAAAATATAAGGGGGAAGATGGCACTACGAGGGAAATAAACTTCTAGAATTGAAATCACTCTTCTGTTGCTTTAAAGTATGTAAAGACTGACCTAACTTCTTGTCATTCAAATGTTTGCTGTGAGTGCGACATTTTAACTTAATAAAAACAATTATAGTAATCATACTTTAATTGATTAAAAAAAGAAAGAAAAAGAGTGAGGTCAGAAAGGCACCACCTGGAGTATGGAAAAGCATAAATCTAGGCAGACCAAGTACCTTCACAAGTGTAAGGGAAGAAAAAGTATTGCTAGAAAATTCTGAACAGACTCTTCTGCCACAAGTATTTCTGAAATGTGCAGAACTATTGATGAGAACTCTCTTTTCCTTCTTTCTTACTCTTCATTGCTGATCTGAAATCTGATATTCCTTTTGATATAATTTTACTGATACAAAAAACTTTCCATGACATGACCTGCTCCTGTCCCACCCCCCTTACTTTATCTCTCTGTAATCCGCCCCCTCACCCCGATCTTTCATTATTGTGACAACTTTAAATGCTCCCTCACAGCGAGCACCATACGGATTAAGTTTGCCTGGGCTGTCATGACAGAATACACAGACAGAACTTCTCAGCATTCTGTAGCCTGGAAGCCCCAGGTCAAGGTGATGTCAGGCTTGGCTCCTCCTACGTCCTCTCGCCTTGGCTTGCAAGCAACCATCTCCTCACTGTGTCCTCACGTGGTCTATTCTCTGTGCTTATAGACCCCTGGCGTTTCTTCCTCTCCTTACCAGAACATCGGTCCTATTGGAGTTGCCCCCACCTAAGGGCCTAAGTTTAACCTAACATTCTTTAAAGACTCCATTTCCAAACACAGTCATATTAGGATGTCATGGGGGTTAGGGCTTCAACATATGAATTTGGGGGAACATATTTCGGCCCATAACACCATCTCACAGTCTTTGTTCAAATTTTTGCAACTCAAATTAGTGGCCTCAGGTAAGTCACTTAGTCTTTATTATCCTGAGGTCCTTATCCTCTTCCATTTTTTAAAATACAAAGTATTCTTTAATTCTATCTTGAAATGTCCATCCTTCACTCCCTCCCGCTATACCTGCTTATTCCTTTATTTGAATAAGAAACGTGTACATGGTGCAATAATAAAAGTACAATACTGCTATGATATAAATGATAAAACTCTTTCACACCCAAACTCCTCATCCTTCTGGAAGCAAATGGTTAATATCAATTTTGGGATTTCTCCCACCACCCCACATCCTGCCAACTGCTCCACCCTGACTAAAGAAAGGAGTGAATATAACTGAGACTTGGAGTCTGCTACACTGCCTTATACATATGGGGTCCCTCCCAATCCCTGAGGGAGGGGGTGCTCCCTTCCTGCGAGGGGACACACACAGCTGGGCTTCATGTGTCACAAAGACGTGGACTTGAATCCAAGCACCAGAACTCACCAGTTGGGTACTTTGGACAAATTGTTTCATCACTTTGGGCCTGTTTACTGGTCTAAAGAGAGATAAGACTTTTATCTTCTTCAGGGAGCTGCAGGATGACTTGAGAGCCTTAGGATCTGTGCAACTGCCATGGTGGGGCTTCAGCAGGGGGCAGAGACTGCTTTGCTGTCAGCCTGCCCTATGGCTCCTTGACGGGCAGGGCCTGTGTATGCGACTCTACCTTTGCAGACCACATTGATTCTAACTTAGCGCCTACACTGGCGCTAATAAACATTCCATTAAATGTAAAACTAGATCCGTCTGGCATGCAAACGGCAAATGACTATGTTTGGGGGTGGGAAGACGTGGGTGAGTAACCCAGTTCTGTCACCTAATTGAGGTGTGGCCTCAGGCAAGTCATTTAAGCCTCTCTTATCCCCAGGTCCCTGTGTATAGTTGTGGGTTGGGAGAATAGAGAAGTCCCAGACCAGGTCATCGCAGGTGGCAGAGCTGGGAGCTGGTAGGAGGCAGTGGGATGGTATCTCTTACCAGTTCATTCTCTCACCATTCACATACAGTTCTCCCTGAGAGGGTACACAGTGCCCCCTTTCTTCCCCTCCTCCTCAGGTTGAGAGGGGTGGAGGGAAGATGAGTAGCTAAGGTTAGGTGAGTGATGGGAAAGTAATTCTTTTCCTAAGTTCTAACAAGTTGAAACTGTATGGCTATAATTTTCTGTTCTACTGTCAAGTTGACTTGAGTGAGTCCTCTGTCTCATAATCAGAGAAAACCTCACGTGGTAACGTAGCTGAGGAAAAAGTCCGCCTGGCGAGGTTCCTGTCCATCTCCTCTGAGATACCATCTGCCATGGAGCTACAGGACCTCAGTCACTGGTGCCATTCACTATCTCAGTGCAACTTCAAACTGAGGCATCCAGTGTTCTGGCATCACATATGATATTCCAGAAACTTCATCTGACTGTCCCAAGGAGCAAAGTATCCTGAAGACTCTCTCACCTCATCCTGTTTCCCCATCTAGCTGGGTAGATCTTAATATTAAAAAAGGAGAGAGAGGTCTTGAAATAGAAATCAGGGGAAGTGAGCAGGCAGGCATGTGGCGGGGTGAGGGTGCCTGGCAATGATTTAGAAGGAGCAGAGTTTGCCTAGGTTAGTGTTTCTCAAACATTAGTCCCTGGACTCCTTCACACATAAAAATTATTGAGGGTCCTAAAATTTTTTGCTTTTGTGGATTATATCTATCTACATTATCACATTAAAATTAGAAAAAAGAAGTTAAATTTTTATAAATTTATTTAAAAAGAGCAACATAAGCTATTAACCCCGGAACTGCCATGTCAATATACATCATGTCTCTGGAAAACTCCAATTTACACTCAAGAAAGAATGAAAGCATAAAAGGCAATTCATGTCTTAATATAAAAATTATTTTAACATGGTGGACCACCAGCGAGTGTCTTGGGGATAGACGAGAACCACTGCTCTAGGCAAGGACATTGGAAATAAGGAGCTGGGGCCTGGGGGTGGGGAGGTGTAATTAGGGAAAGAGGGACACACATCTCTCTTTTGGATATAATGATAGCACTATAAGTATTTTATTAGAATGAAATACCAGGCTAGTTCATGGTTATTATTTGATGTAATCCCCATAATAACTCATGAGAGGAGATACTATTTTAAACTCATTTTATAGATTAATAAATGGGGCACAAAAAGGTTAAAAAACAAAGGCAGCCCAATTTTTATGACAAATACCAGAAAGGACAAATTAGATTTCTAATGCAAACTGCTGCTGATTGTTGTATCTAAAGTAGGCAGAGTGCAACAAAGTGACTGGAGTGGCACTCTACTGCAAACCAGCTCCAGGGTAGGGTCACTGAGCTCTGGAGGGAGACAAGGAGGAACTTGCTAGTTCCAGGAAAGAGGAGCACCTGCCAGCCACAGCTGTGAGATGTCCGCTGACCACTTGGATGAGATCATCGTTGGGAATTACTCACAGAGACTGCTAATCCTGGGATACAGGCCTTCCCTGGGGCAGCCTTAAACCAGGACTGCTAGCAGGTACGACAGATAAAGTATATATAGTATATACAACCTCAAGGCAAGATATCTCTGAAAGTTCATCTGATTCCAGACCTGCTAATCAGAGCCTCCTCTGCCTTGTGCCTGGTCCTCTTCCTTCCTTTGCTACTCTTGGGGATCCCCAGGACACTTCTCAATGTACATCTTGTACCCACATTTCCCTCTCAAAATCTGTTTCCCAGGGGAACCAGCATTGTCTCAGACAATGGCAGACTCCTAAATCTTCTATCATTCACCCAGTTCTTTCCAATTGCTTGTAAAGGATCAGTCTGTTTGTGGTTGCTATTCTGCCTCTTTAAACTCAACACCCAAGCTGCAGTCCTGACTTCGGTTTATCCAGCCTTCCAAAGCTGTTGGTTGTCCCAAACCATGGAAGAGCCACTATATATCATGCACGTCTTCTAACTCATAGTTTCAGGTAAAAGCAATCTGGAAAATGTTATAGGGAAATTGGGGGGAAGATTTAAGCCTTCTTAGCTCTGTGGTTTTCAGCTTGACCCGATATATCTTTTTTCTTCTGGACCAACTTATTTTTGTGCAGTCTCATCTTCCCTGCTGTGCTCTGGAAGTAGGACAATTTCCAGTGTTATTTTTAATCATGGAGCACTCAGGGAGATAATGATATTGATTAAAATGTGAGCCTAAGAAAGATTCCTTGAGAGGAATTATGTGGAAGAAATGAGCTTTCCTCCAGAGCCCCACTAGGTGGCATTTTCTTAAAGCGGTACTGGTATTCAGTTACTAGAAGTATCACGCTATTCTTCTTTTTTTTATTTAAATTTTATTTTTATATTCCCCATACAATTACAACCTCCTTATTTTGACCCCAATCTCTCCTTTCCCCGCCCCCCGCCCCCCATAGAGTGTCTCTGGTTCATAGTTGTTTGTTGATTTTGACATTTTCTTTCTTATAGTTATTCTTTTTCCTGGTCCCTTATTTAGGTTTTCTAGATTACTGCTATGAGTGAGACCATCCGGTATTTTTCTTTTTCTTTCTGGCTTATTTCGCTGAGCATGATCCCTTCCAGCGTCATCCATGTTGCTGCAAATTGCATGTGTTTATCTTTTTTGAATGCTGAGTAATATTCCATGGTATATATGTACCATATCTTCTTGATCCAGTCATCTATTTTTGGGCATTTGGGCTGTTTCCAAAGCTTAGCTATTGTAAATAGTGCTGCTATAAACATAGGGGTGCAGGTGCTCTTTGGAATTAATGTTTCTGTGTCCTTTGGGTAAATACCTAGGAGTGGAATTGCTGGATCATATAAAATGGGCAG